AGCGGTGGAGGGGCAGAGAGATAGAGGGAGACACAGAATCCATGGAATTGGAAGCTGGCTCCAGGCTCTGAGCTGTCAGCACAGAGCCCAATGTGGGGCTTGACCTCACAAACTGCGAGATCATGACCTGAGCTGAAGTCAGACACCTAGCCGACTGAGCCACCCAGGCACCCCATGGAAATATTTTGTTTCTAATGTTTATTGAAGGTCTCAAGAGGTTGCAATGTCTCTCCCAAAGTGGATTTTTTTCCCCTTCACTTTAAATGCAAAGACAAAGAGTTGGTGGCTCTTCTATCCAGTTCCTTGGAACTTACTTCCTTGTTTCATTCTCCTTATCCTCCTTCCTCCCAAGTAAATGCCTCCTAGACAGACTTGCAGAGCCTGGAGACAACTTCCCAAGAAGAAGATTGCTAGCCATTACTTCACAAGTGGAATAGGTACTGGCCAATTCTCTGAAATTCTCTCCAAGTCACTGAGTATATACTTAATAGAAACTGGCATAAGTGAAAAAAAAGAAAAAAAAAAAAAGATCTGTTGGCCACGTAACGGTAAATTTCACCTTCAGGCACAGCTGGATCCAGGGGCTCAAATGTCCTCATTGGGCATTTATTCCCTGAATCTTTTGACTCTGCTTTCATCTGTGTTGGTTCTCAGGCAAGTACTTGTGAATGCGATGGCCAGGGCCACCCCTAACAGATGCACCCCCGCTGGTTTGCCAAGCCAAGCATAAAGGGTGTAACTCTATTCTAATGGGTTCAGCAAAAGCCACAGGACTATTCTAGCTTAGATCACAGGCCCTCCTGGGAAGTAAGCATTTTAGTAAAGGAACTAGAAGCTCTGGGTGATAGACTTGCATATGCATTCACCAAGTTTGGGGGGCAGACCTTCATTATCGTGGAATGCCCCATCTAGGAAGTGCTAGTTCTTATAAGTTGTAAAACATACTTTTCCCATTCTCTAACATCAAGAGCTATATAGTTTTCATCTACCGTGATTTGTAAATGCACTGAGGTGCAGCCTAGATACCTGGAACGTAAGGAATTTATCCTATATTAAAGCAATATATTCGCACTTTTATTTTTTTTTTTTTAATTTTTTTTTCAACGTTTTTATTTATTTATGGGACAGACAGAGACAGAGCATGAACGGGGGAGGGGCAGAGAGAGAGGGAGACACAGCATCGGAAACAGGCTCCAGGCTCCGAGCCATCAGCCCAGAGCCTGACGCGGGGCTCGAACTCACGGACCGCGAGATCGTGACCTGGCTGAAGTCGGACGCTTAACCGACTGCGCCACCCAGGCGCCCCTATTCGCACTTTTAAAAAAGTCTATCCAGGGACTACCTCAAACCTAAAAGCTTCTGCACAGCAAAGGAAACCATCAGCACAATAAATAAGTAACCCACTGAATGGGAGAAAATATTTGTAAATCATGTATTCAATAAAGGATTACTATCCAAAATGTATAAAAAACTCAGCTCAGTAGCAAAAAAAAAAAAATCTGATTTAAAAATGGACAGAGAATGTAAATAGACATTTTCCAAGGAAGACATGCAGATAGCCCAGCAGCACATGAAAAAGTGTTTGGCATCAATAATTATGAGGGAAATCCAAATAAAAACCACACTGAGATCACCTCACATCTATCGGAAAGGCTACTATCAAAAGGACAAGAAATAACAAGTGTTGGTGAGGATATGGAGAGAGGGGACCCTTGTACACCATTGGTGGGGATGCACATTGGTGTAGCCACCGTGGAAAACAGCATGGGGGTTCCTCAAAAAATTAAAAATAGAACTACCATATGATCCAGAAATTCCACTTCTGGGTATTTATCCAAAGGAAATGAAAACCCGAATTCCAAAAGATACCCGCATCCCCATGTTCGTTGCAGCATTATTTACAACAGCCAGGATATGGAGACAACCTAAGTGTCCATCAATAGATGAATGGGTAAAGATGTGGTATATGTGCGTGTGTGTGTGTGTGTACATATATATATATACACACATATTATATACATACATATATACATATATACATATTATATATATATATACACTATATATATAGTGTATATATATATATATATATATATATATATATATATATAATCAATACTACTTGGCCATAAGAAAGAAGAAAATCTTGCCATTTGCAAAAACGTAAATGGCCCTTGAAGATACTGTGCTAAGTGAAATAAGTCAGACAGAGAGAGACAAATGTCATAGTCACGTATATGTGGAATATAACAGACAAATGGACAAACAAAACTTGCAGATGCAGAGGACAGAGTGGTTGTGATCAGAGGGGTCGGGAGGGTTGGGAGGTGAGTGAACAGGGTGAGGGGGGTCAACCGCGTGGCGGCAGATGGTCACCAGACTTGCTGTCATATATACGAACGGTATGGAGTGTATACCAATATAGAATTAGCACGTTGTACGCCCGAAACTAAGATAACGATATGGGCCAATTTTTAAAAAGTCTTTCCCGGAGAAGGGTTTTCTCTTCAAAGACTTTTTCCCTGAGCGGGACACTCTCATGTACCGTTAGCTCTTTTGATTCCCGTCTGGAGAGTCCAGAAGAGAGGAAAAAACGAAAGAGACAGGCTGATGCTCTTGGCAATTCGAAGAGCCCTCCCTTGTTTTGAATCTCAGTCTCTGCCTTTTTGTCAACTGTTTCCTCTTCCCCTGGCATGGGCCATCCCCACAATTCATTTATATTCACTGTGATGCGTCAGCTGCCCGCCTGGCTTACTCAGCACCCTGACATCTATGACTTCCTTATTCCGGCTCTCCCTCCCGCCTTCTTGCCCTGAGTACAGTGTTTACCACGATTATGAATTCCTAGAGCACAGGAAAGGGGTTAGGAAGAGCTGGGTGACATACCCAGTGCCCCTACGGGGTGACTTCCTTGAGGTCCGAGATTGTGAGGAATATCACAACCTAGTGCTTGTCACCGTCCTCTGTACCGTCCTTTCCGTGTTCCTCAGAGACAACCCTTCATTCTACCTAGGAATCCGGCTCTTCTCTCTCTCTCTCTCTCTCTCTCTCTCTCTCTCCCTCTCCTTTATGTTTGCTCCCGACTCTAGACACTGGGAGATACCAGAGTTTGGCAAAAACAATTGCTGATAGAAGTGTGTGTGTGTGTGTGTGTGTGTGTGTGTGTGTGTGTGTTTCTCACGCATATTAACAAGCCGTATGAGCAGACCAAAAGATTCTCCCTTTTCTCTTTCTCTCTTCCTGCAAACAGATATTTTTTAAGTGGCTGGCTGCACCTGTATAAAGCAAACCACAATGCTGGCAAAGGCATGGGAGAATCCTTCAAGATAATCACAGTGCCTGTCAATTATTAAGCAGTCTGTGTCCCGTAAACATCCGGGCAAATGCTGCAAGGGAGCTGTTAGCATTCCCATCTGAGGGATGAGGAAATTCAAAGGTGTTTGGTGACTTGCCCAAGGTCACACAGCTTATCAGTAGAGAATCTTGATCTTTAACTTTGATTCCAAAATTTGCA